CCTGTACCCCACCTCAGGGATGGTCTGGTCAAAAATCACAATTTTTTCGATAACTCAGCCATTTCTTGGCGGATCCTTTTCATCTTCGAACTCGACCGAGATATTGTCAAGACTAAACTGTAGAAAATTTCATCGCAATCTGACTCTCCTTTCAAAAGTTATCGTGTAAACGGCCGGACGGACGGACACACAGACCGATTTTAGTAGTGTACTCACTTTTTGAGTACACTAAAAACGAAGCTATGGCAGAATCCAAAAATAGCTTACCAAAAGTCAGAAATGTAATCATCTTATTCTACCTAATTTTACAGACATGTTTTTATCATCGAATATCCAAACAAAAATAGTTGTTTCTATTCTTTTACAAAACACTTTTCTTTTTTGTTTATTTTTAATAAAGATATGCTCACACTTGTTACTGAAAATATTATTTTAGGTTTAAATAAATTAAGTTGTGACAGAGCGTATAAGATCAAGACGATATTAATCACATTAATTTTCTCGTTACATCGGTATAATATATTGTCATAGAATAAGAGATGGTAAGGTTCTTATAAAGATTTAAGACTAGTCTTTCTACCTGAAAATTATTCAGTCATTGACGAATCATTGGGTGCCAGTAGATAACAATATTCAATAGCTTTTAAGAGGATTGTTCAAAGTGAAATTCAATTTTTGACATTCTTATTGTACAAATGCTAAACAACAATAAAAAATATTTACTCGGAGAAAGAGAAATGCCATTAAAGTTGCAATCAATGCATTGGTTTTTTTATTTGATAATTAAAACCATAATGAATGATTTTGAATTCGTATGACCAACTTAAATCAAAAGATGATGACAGAAACAAAATACGATTAACTTACTACTACTGACAAGCAATTCTATACATATATCAGTTCAATTTCAATAGTAATGCTTTTCATCTAAAGATAATATCATATAATGACTCTGTTTAATTTTAAATAATAAATTATGATAAAAAGAGTAATTTTTTTAAAGTTCTTGATTATTTTTCTCGAATAAAAATTGTTTATTAATTCATTTGATTACTATCTTTGGCAAAAAAGCAATCTAATAATAGATCTTCATCTTCAGATAAACACTCAAAACTATCGAAACTTTCTCGATCAGCTCTTTGTGTTAAACAATACACATCTATTAATAAATCAGTATGAATTGTCGTTCTTTTATTCTTATTCTGTCGCTTTTTCTCTTTTAATTTTTGTTCAATATCATTGGAATTCATGTCTTGATCATCAATTGTACATATTGAAGGATTATTGATTGTTGTTAGTGGCCAAAGTTTTGAATCATTTGATTTTTCGCTAAGTGAAGAAGACATATTTATTTCTTTTGAATAGTCCTAGAAAAGAGAATTATATTAGTAAAAAAATTATTTTATCCATCCAAAATCTACCGGTTACTCATCAATCATCTTAAACTCTAAAATTCAAAGATTACATTCTCAACCAATCAATATGCTACTTAAAGGTCATCTATCTTTAAATGATTGTAATCGAAGATATTCTATGTCAAAGTAAAATAAAAAGAATTCTTTGATTTTTCAAATAGCTTGCGTTCTGAGATGCTGTCCAGAGACAGATCCAGTAGTTTGATATTCTTCCATAGTCAATTCTTGTGATTAATCACTCGTAGAATAGAGCAAAATGTCTACTTTTGAATGTGCTACAGTTGATTGATTTTGCGATAATATTACAGAAGTTTTTCTGAAACTACATCTTGAAGAAAGTTTTAAATAATTAATTTTCTATTTTTCTTCATAGCGATTCTATAAAGAAATGATCATTTTATTTTCTTATGTCTACTAGACAAGTAGAGTTAGGTCATCAAAGAGCCAGATTTTTGAATTTCTCTGTTGATGAAATAAAAACCGTAGATCTTTTGTTTTGATCAATGATTTCTTTGGTCAAGGGTTTAAGAATTTTTAAAAGGCAAACGAAGAAAAATTCAAAAATTGATTCCTGTTACAACCGAGTCGTAAGGGCTATCTGCAACCTTAAAACCATCCAGACATGTTAGCTCATATCTTTATTATGAAATCGTTGCCCACGTATAGGATATTTTACCCATAATCTACTCCAGTCAAGAATAACATTCTCTGAAATGTTAGTTGAATTCCATCAAAAAGTAAAAGCTCGTCGCTAAGAGAAGTAACGGGTGGCGCAGAATAAATTATACTCTTAGTATTTTTGAAGTTTCTCCTCTATTACCCCCATGTTTGAAACATTTTTTTATCAAAAGATAGCGCTTGAAATTCTCTACAAAACTATATATGACTAGGTCCAAAAACTGTTTTAGATAGATTTGAAAAAGATGAAAAGTNTTTTATTCGAACTTACCTTATATTTGTCTGTTTCAAGTAATGATCGAACAACGGCACCTCCTTGAGCACCAGTCGCTCCTACCACAGTTACCAATCGACGAGTAGACATAACGATGATACTATTTTGTATAATGCACACTTATACTATTCTCTCTTTCTTTATATATCTATATATATGTGCGCTTCTTCTTGTATTAGTCTTATTTCTATGCAAAGACGAAGTACGTCTAATAACGGCAAGTATGACTAAACGATCGAGAGAGAAAAATATTAAACAAAGAAAAGAATGAGAAGGTTCGAGCATTGTTTTTTTTTGATAGAAATAGAATACAATCAACGTGAGATGCATTCGCAATCATGACAAGGCATTTTATAAAGAAAATTGTTTACTTTGATGACATAGTAATTTATTCATCTAAATTCTGACAAAGCACTTTTTTCAAATATCATTAGAAAATCTTACTGAAAATTTAAATTGTTTTGTTAATTTAAAACAATCGATGTAAATTATTGAATAGGAAAACAATCATTGATATAGAAGATTTACTAGGTAACTAGCCATCCGAAAAATATTAATCGATAGTATTTGATATCAATGTCTTATTACGGAAGAAATAAATTATTTTTTCTCTGTCATATAGCTCATAAGAATAGTATAACATAACAAATCTTAATTTCAGTATTCGACTTCAGAAAATAATCTTGATTTGTGAGTTTAACATAATTCATCAGACACTAGCTTACAAATACGATTGCTCCCAAACAATAAGAATGACTTTAAGGAAATAGTAGTCATTCTTTTATGGAACTCACATATATTTTCAAAGAAAATAGTGAGTGTAAGTTTTAAGTTCAAGCTTTCGCGGACACCTCCCCCTTCCTTTATAGACAGGCCCCCCTTACAGACCATAGCAATCAAAAAGAATATTATATACACGTACCTCCCACCCCCTCCGCCCCCATTACAGACTGCAATAACCGCGCATAAAACGCTGCAGATTTATTCAGCAATAAAAAGAAGCGAGTTAAGCAATATTAAGAATATCAGTTCGACTGCTATATAATATCTCAATACTTTCATACTTATTTAAAAAAACTTATATATTTGCTAAAGTTCGTAATAATGTAGTCGTGGATCTTCCTTTTAATTTGAACTTGCATGTTAGAAATCAAAGAGGCAAATTAATAATATATATTGATCTGTCATAGCAGTCATATAATTAATATGAGATGTATGACTCGATCTTTTTATCAGTGTGAGTAATAAACAATATTGGCATTATGAATTAATTGAGACATAAGCTAATGTAAGAGTTGTTAATGCATATAACCTACATTATTCTAATAATTCTATTCATCAAATAGTTGATGGTGGAGAAAAATAATTTCAAATTAAAAAACAAAAAAATGATTATTATTGAGTATATAGCAATAATTATAAATTAAATCGAGCGCTCATAAATGAAAAAAACAATATTTTCGTTTTTTATTATACAAATAAACAATAAATTCCCGCTCTTTTCATCGATTCTCAATGAAAATAACTATAGTTGACAAGAAGTCTTTCAGTATACAGATGATGCGTCAGGTAACAAAGCTAAAGATGTGCGTGAGTTCCACATTTCAGCTCCGCAGGAGCTACGCTAACAAGCTTTTTTAATTATTTCCAATTATTGTTTTGTCTTCCATTTGGCTTCTTTCCTTAAAGTAGAATGGTGAAAATGGACGGCTTTTAGTCTTCATTCTTCTTATTAATATTCTCTCAATGCAACGCTTTATACGTACGTCCTAGCTCAAGTTCAGGTAAATCAAAGGTAAAATTTTTATTGCCATTGGAAGCAAATAAATCCAGAATCTCCTGTATTTTTTGGTGTAAGAAAAAAAAAATTTGTCAAATGTATATCTGTAAGAGTGATACTAGAAATAAGTATCATGATTAGGAAATCCAACTACAAAGTATGTGTGATGTGTGGACCTCTTTCTTCGTAACATTCATACCAACACCAATCAGATTTAAAAGAGCATTTTTTTAAAGGTTTTTGATTATTTTTCTGGAATAAAAAATTGTTTATTAATTTATTTGATTTCTATCTTTGGCAAAAAAGTAATCTAATCATAGATCTTCATCTTCAGATAAATACTCAAACTATCGAAATTTTCTCGATCAGCTCTATGTGTTAAACAATAACCATCTATTAATAAATCAGTATAAATTATCGTTCTTTTATTCTCATTCTATCGCTTTTTATTATTAAATTTTTGTTCAATATCATTGGAATTCATGTCTTGATTGTAATCGAAGATATTCTATGTCAAAGTAAAATAAAAAGAATTCTTTGATTTTTCAAATAGCTTCTGTTCTGAGATACTGCCTAGAGACAGATCCAGTAGTTTGATATTCTTCCACAGTCAACTCTTGTGATGAATCACTCGTAGTATAGAGCAAAATGTCTACTTTCGAATGCACTACAGTTGATTGATTTTACGATAATATTACAGAAGTTTTTCTGAAACTCCATCTTGAAGAACGTTTTCAAAAATGAATATTCTATTTTTCTCCGTAGCGACTCTATAAAGAAATGATAATTTTTGTTTTCTAATGTATTCTAGACAAGTAGAGTTAGGTCATCAAAGAGCCAGAGTTTTGAATTTCTCTGTTGAAGAAATAAAAACCATAGATCTTTCGTTTTGATCAATGATTGTTTTGGCCATGAATTTAAGAATTTTTAAAATGCAAACGAAGAAAAATTCAAAAATCAAGTCCTGTTACAACCTAGTTGTGAGGGCTATTTGCAACCTTAAACCATCCAGACATGTTAGGCCATATATTTTTCATGAAATTGTTGTCCACGTATGGAATATTTTATCCATAATCTATTCTAGTCAAAAAGAACATTCTTTGCAATGTTAGTTGAATTCCATCAAAAAGTAAAAGCTCGTTTCTGAGAGAAGTACCTTCATAAGACAAATACTAGCTGTAACTTTAGTCAGAAGTTTAATTTGATTTACACTTCTTGCGTGTGATTGGTGGAGTTGTTTATAGATATCAGTCAATTATATTTTAGTCACTAGAACATAGTTCTTTTACAAGATAATTATTATGCTATAGAAGAAGTAATCCGAGACCTTTGATCAAGAATCATCGTATGACTGACGGTACTTTGGTATAAAAATAGTATATTATGAATACTTATTGAATGTCAATTGATATAAGTGATTAATAGATAAATATACTTGATGATGATCAAGTATCAGAATCAGTATCCTGTTAATCAATCGATGTATTATTTAATAAATAATTATTCGATTGCTGAAAGGACGGGGGACCCTTTGTACACAAAATAGCCCTAAATAAAAATAATCACAAAACACATCTTGGTTTCCTATTTCACGATTCCCGTTGCAAGACTAAACTACTGCCAACACATCCAGACCATTTTTATAGAATTTAGAAGGGTATGTGGGTGAGTGTGAGTAGGGATGCAACGGTGACAATCATTCACCGGTTCAGTTACGATAACCGTAGGTACGGTTACCGGTTCAAACTATTGTCAAGAAAAATAGCATTTTATAAGAAAATAACGATACTTCATAAACGTTGACAAAAGTAAATCGAGGTAGGAGAATTCGAATCTGAAGTCCGTTTTTGAAAATTTTGAAATAAATTTCTCGGCAAAGGAAAGGATTTTTTTAGAAAAGTCATGATATTTTATAAAGGCTGAAGAAAGTAGATTGAGTCGAAGAATCCAAATCTTGAATTACGTCCTTGAACGTTTGAATTTTTCTCTTTCCAAGGCTAAACCGCTCCTTGAAACTCGTCTATTTTTCTCGAAATATTCATTGCTGAAAAACATTACATGTGAAGACTAAAATTCAAAATTTTCAAAAGCTGACTTCAGATTCGGATTTTCCGACCTTGATTCACTTTTGTTAATCTTTATGAAAGATCGTTAGTTTCTTATAAAATCCTGTTTTTCTTGACAATGGTTTGAACCGATAACCGTTGCATCCATAGGTGTGGGTGTAGATTTCGAGACTGCTAAAAGGCACACCCACATCCACACTCTAAAATTCAACAGTGTAGCAGTTTGGCTATTGATTGAGTTTTACGATGGAATTGTTATGGAAAGTGACAGATGTTTTTGTTCTAAATTATATTTAATTTGACTAAGAATAGTTATTGTTGAAGATATTTCATCATTGGAATAATAAACTCGATAAATATGATAATTATTTTGATTTGATATTAAACATTCAACTTCTCTAATTGATATTGGAAATGTATTTTGTGTTGATGAACGAGTTGTTTTAACTTCAATTAAATCAATTTGATTTTCTTTTCCTTTGCGAATCATTTGAATATCAAATGGTTGACCAGATTCACCATCTTTATTAATTCACTGGATTTCTCTGTTAGGATATTTCCATTGAAGATATTTATAAACAAATTCTTCGCCGCGACGACCGATAATAATATCGTTTTCATTGTTACTTGATGTAATATTTGTAGAAATTGAAGAATTAGCTAATGTTTCAGAAGATAGAGTCACATTAGTAAATGTTGAGATACGAATTTGTTCAAAGTTTATGTGGGCTGGTGACATGAAAATTCCTACAGTGATCGGAATTATTTGATGCTTAGTCGATTCGCTATTTTCATTTGATTCCAACTGATGTTTTTCTAGATGAAAGAATAATCTTATCAAACTAACAAATATTCATGAAAGAAACAAAAAAAAATTATACTACTATAAATTCAATTTAAAATTGATACATATTTTGACAAATTATATTAGAAATTTAGCAAAATAAATATGAAACTTTACTATAAATAAATTCTATCAAAATGAATCAACTATTAAATAACTCTTTGATTAGGAGATATTTTCTATCAACAAAAATGCTTCAAGTAGATCATGCTCATTTATATTGGTACTTCACAATGACATTATGATTTTGTTAGTGTAATAGTACTTCTGTAACTTAACTAGGCGATAAAATCCTAAATGATGCTTTAATTCTATTATATTCTGTAGCGATCCGAAATACAACACCCAAATCAAAGTAAGTAGATTTTTGGCGTATATACTGTTTTGTCTTAGAACAGACAAGGCTTTGTTACATCACGAAGTTCAATTTCTATAGGATAGATTAAAAAAAGAATATTAAGAAAAACGCCGGATGTGAGACAGTACGAAAATCTATGTTGTTTTAAACTTGACAAAAAATGTACTAAATAACTCGAGATAGAGCTGGGCATGAATTATTTTATCCATAGTCAACGAAGCTATTCCTTCAGATGAATTTGATTTATTTTGAGAAGGCATTTGATGTGTTGTGTCTACGTTGTTTGATGCATCTGTCGATGAAGTATTTGTATTAGAAGTTTCATTAACAACTTGTTAACCAGGTTTGGCTGGAAAACAGGTCAATGTTTTCGATTGATTTGGATCTCTTGGTACATTTAGATTTGCGTTGGGCAATGTCCAAGCGGATTCATTCAATAAATTTTTTAACATTTCTGATGAAACAACGATAGATTCATTACTATTAACTTCATCTTCATTTTGATCATTAGTCTGAACAATCGGTTCATCTTTAGTAATCTGGGGAATAATCCATTTTGATAATTGTTGCTCTGAAAAATTTTCTCTTTGTGTATTTAAGCCATCTAAACCGTTGTCTTGGTAAATTTTAAAAAGATTTTGAATATATTTTGAAAGTTTTAAGCGATTTGTTTCATCCTGAACAAGATAATTAACCATTGTGCCAATATAACGATTCTCAGATTTTTCATATTTATGTAAAATATAAAATTTTCTTGCTAATTCATCAATATAACTATCAAGAACAGAAGATGATGACGATTTTCGTATTATACTCTCTTTATATCGATATAATAAACAAATTAAATCCACTGAAATAAAACTCATTTGAGAGAAGATTGATTGAAAATGATTTGATCGATTTTCAGACATATATTGATTTGTTAATAAATAATGTTGAATAAGATCAATTGAATGACTATAAAAATCAAGTATTTCTTTTGCTGATTGCTCATTTTCAACATCGATTACAACTTGAATAGCATCATTAAGATCTTCAATATTAAATAATGAACAAAATTGTTGTTTAAACTCATCTGAATGTTTCAAATCGTCTAAAGAGAAAAATAAATATTTACAATAGTTGTTTTTTTTGAAATCATGCTTCATATTGAATTAAAATCCAAAAGGTTAATAGGCATCGATATAGTTTAGATTAAAAAAAAACATTCAAATAAAAATCAATGGTCAGAATGGACGTTGTCTTGATTGAAATAGATTTAAAGCATATCTAAAAGTGATTTCATTCTATTATGACATTGTTGATGTATACCTGATATATTAACGATTGGTATAATGTCTAAAAAAAGATTAGCAATTACTAGATCATGTGGATAATATAGTCAATCAGTATATTTAGCCAAATTATGTGTATAAATTGTACAATGAATAAATTTCTAATCATAACTTTTAT